AATATGAAAAATTGAAAATCAAACTAAAACTGGTAATCTCAATATCGAACTAATCAATATATATTATAAAATAGAAAAACTAAAAAATTAAAAAATCGAATCAATCAATTAATTCGGTTCTATTTTAGAACCGTACTTTTCAAAAACCAAAGGGATGAGCTCGATTTACCAACACCCCAGGTATTGTCTCCTCACTATTCTCAATGTGCTTAAATCAATCCCCTTAAGAAAAATAATGATCTCTGTTAAATATGAATTAAGTAGTCCAATGTGAGTAGATTGCCCCACAGCCAACTCCAACAAGGATATAGAGGCTTCAGATCCATCACCAAAGTGATGGCATATCGAGGCTTAACAAACTCAAGATCTCAAAATCTCACTTAAAATGGCCACCATGAATGCGACCAACCACATTCATGATTCTGCTGAAAAAAACACATCTTGATGGCCCAAAGAAATTAAAAGGACTGAAATGATGCATATATAAAGTATTTCCCTAGTCATGAAGAAAGTATGGGCTTCTGCCTCTCATAGAAAATTGAAACCATTGAAGAAGGGTTACAACTTGAAAGTTGAAACCATGTAGCCATTTTACTAGCCTATAGCCCGAGATATGAGTTGTTGCTTGGACCATACTTAATTTCAACAGCCGGTTCGGACAGGATTTTAACAAAGGTCAAAGAACAATGGAGTAGAGATGGGTGAGATTGGGAGGTCCCCTCAGTTTTAAATTCATGGCCTTCTTTAGAGGCTACCCCAACTAATTCCTAGTATGGCATGCCGACATTGTCATATATTATCAGAAAGAAAGTATAAAAAACCATTTTTGACCCGATATTAATGAAGACAATAGCAGTTCAGTAATGATAATGCCCTACACCAGTAATAAAATATATGAGATTCACAACCTTTCAATTTTGGCCTCATGTATTTTAGAATGATTATAGCCATATATATATATATATATATTTTATGACTGATGTGGGACGTTATCATTGGTTCATAATCGCTATACGACCATTGCAATCTGCTAATCCAATACCCCTTGAAGCCTTCACTTTATTCGGCCATATTTATTTCCCATATGATAATTGAAAATTGGGGTTGCAAAGATCAGGCCGACATGTCTGTGGGTGTGGCAGCTGGACTTAGCAGGATCAGGCTATCTTAATTAGGTTGTTATGCAATGGCACGGCTCTAAATCCAGCTAAAGTCTGAGCTAGGATGGGCCAGACATTTCAAGGTCTGGTTACGCCTCCCAGTGCCCATTTGGAAAAGRCTCAAGCACAGCGGCTTCTGGCTTTTCAAAGTGGGTCTCACATGAACAACCTATAAGTTGTATTTGCTAAACAACCCAGATAGTTTAGTTTGGCTGTCTGTTAATCATTTATAGGGCTGTCTGATACGTATTTTAAAATTTCGTCACGTATTGGAGTGTATCGACTGATACGTATTTTATCGGGYCCCTCCGATATGCCCTTACACAAGCTGTTTCGGGGTCCCACCTATTTCAGGCTGTATCGATTTTTTGAACTTTGTTTGAAAACAACTGAACCAGCTTTAGTGAATGCCTGAGTCTTCAGCTAAGCTCTTCTAAGAAAAAAAAAAAAAAAAATCATTTTCAAGGTCAATAATGCCTCATGTTTTGAAAATTGTTGAACTTTTACAATAAAAAGATCACTCCTTAAAACTAGGAGCTAAAGTTTGTGTACAGAGTATACAGAGTACTAGAAAGACAACTGTGTTTTACCTAAAAAAAGAAAGAAAGAAAGACCACTGTGATGCATGGGCTGGTGTTAAATCATGCCTATGTTCTATAGAGGGTGATTACATTCAGTTTCTTAATGAAAAGGAAACTGAATTGTTTGTGGATGAGTAGAAATAGCCCCATATTTCATTTTTTTTTTAATTTCAGAAAAAAGAAAACAACAAATTGCCAAGGGGGTTAGGAAGTAATATGAGGAGAGAGAGAGAGAATAAGCTGGTGTGAAAGAGGCTAGGAAGTAATATGATGGACAACTGCTTTTAAGTATATAGAATTGGTTACCTAAAACTTTTACTTGGATTGACTTGGGTCTTGGACCAGAAGATCAATATTTATGGGCTGTGATCTTGTCACTTGGATGCATCTAACATAAAATATGCGGATCCAATAAGAGTGCCTCTACACTAAAAATCAGCATGATCAAATGACTTAAGGGCCCATTTGGTTTGTAAGAATAAGGGACTGGAACYAGAATCAAAATGGCTCATTTTGATTCCAACTGTTTGGTTGGGCAAACCAGAATCTCATTCTCATTCCTGTGGAATGACATTCTCCCATTTGAGGGAATAATCATTTCCTCCCCCTCTCTTGAGAATGAAATCCTAGCRCAGCTGATTTCAATTCCAATTTCTATTCTTATTTGAACCAAACAGATTATGGGAATAGACTATTCCAATTCCAATTACAAACCAAACAGACCCTAAGTTTATTGTTCTATATGTTATTTTCAAAACTTCCAAGGAGTTTAATGCAACTTTTCTATTGAAGCTTTGTCCTTTTATTGCCCAAGTATGTTTGAGCCTTTTCTAAATACATTAAGTCATCTAAAATCACAAGGTGGGTGATTGATAATGGGTGTTGATCCCCTCATTTTGATATTTTTGAGTTCACCTTCTCCTGCAATTTGTTTATAATTGTAGAGAACAATCCAAATACATATGGAGATAGAGGACAGCCTTATCAAATGCCTTGTCTTGAGCCTTAGGCCAAAGGATTTTGTATGGGTATCCATTGATAATTACCATGATAGAAGGGGTACTTACGAAAAGTTTTATGAGGTTATAGAGTTTGTAGGATATTTTCATGAGCTCCATTACTAAAGGGAGGTCGGAATATTAAATTTTATCATAAACTTTAGCTATGTTCATATATTAAGTGTGAACAACTATTGATGCTTACATTGCCTTCATATTGTTGAAGTATCCCTTGAAGAATTATCAATTATTTACCTACTGTTTGATGAAGGCATTTTTAATTGGGGAGGAAATCAATTCACAAAGCTGAGCTATAAGCCTATTTACAATGATTTTGGCTGTAAGTTTGCAACTCATATTGCATAAGCCCATGGATTGGGAATCTTTAGCCAGATTTTGACTTGTCATTTTTTGGAATTAGGGCAAGTTTGAGTAACATTTAGGGAATTCCAAAGGTGATTATTTATAAAAATAGATTGAATGAAATTGATAAATTTCGGTTCTATTACCTCCCAACTAGAACCAGAATGATAAACTAGGGCTAGTAGTCCATTGATCTTGGAGTTTTCCGAGTTTTATGGGCACCTATAGGCAGCTAATTGGATCTGCAGCACCAGCCATTCTTTCGGTCTGTGACAGGTGTAATGGGCCCAGCCATAACCCAAACAGTAAAATGCTAACTCGGGCCAACCCGAGTTGTACCCATGCATATGAGACCACTTGTAATGAAGCACCCACCATAGACTGAATGGAAGTGCACAAATATAGCACCAAAAAAAAAATCAGATATGCTTTTGGTTGAAAACCAGGTTCGACTCTCTGCACTTCATGCAATTCATTCAGTCTGTGGCGTGTATGCCATTTACACGTGTAAATACCTATATGCATGAGTATACATGTAATTGGACCCTATTACAGACTGAATGGAAGTATAGGAGAAAATTGCAGGATATTCATTTATGATCAATCTGCATAGTAAGGGTGTCAATTGGACTGGATTTGGTCCAATTCGATCCAATCCAATGTGAGTCCATTATAAATGGATCAGGTCCAATCCAATCCAATGAATGTTTTGGACCAATTTAGATCGGTTYAATTCAATGTTTAGACCATCCAATCTGTTCAAATTCATTCGATTTATATTGGCTTCAACCTAAACCTAGTCCATTCACACGTATATTCTTATCTCATATCAATGGACCCAGATATTAGCTTAATCCAACCCAATCCAATATAAATTTGTTACGGACAGACCAGGTCCAACCCAATCTAATAAATACTTTGGACCAGATTGGTCCAATCCAATGTCTTATTGATCCATTCAATCCGTTCAAATTGATTTTGGACTGGATGGGATCCAATCAAAAACCGATCCATTGACACCCTTACTTACTGCATAGTATGTTGACTAACAAATGGGTCAACTTTGATATCCGGTTCGATTTAGATGCATTACTGATGGGATTGAATCAAGGGTATATCCAAATTCAAATAGGATCATATCCGATTTATTTGCAGCCCTAACCCTCCCCCTCCCGAGTTGGCATATTCATTTGGAGATACTTCTCAGCTAGCTGCATTACCCATTGAAAGTATCTTTACCCAACAGAGGCAGCTTAATAGACCCTACTTTGTGTGTTACAAAGAGCATGGTCTGTACCAGCCGATACAAGCCCGACATAGGAAAGCATGGGAGGAATGGCATAATATCGGACCATTCCACCCATGCTACGTATCACTCACCTTGGAAACCAATACAATATGCCAGGTCCTTTAAACCTTGCCGTTCACTTTGTGACCTCCATGCAAGGTCAACAAGGTACCATGCAACAGAGTGACCTCTACAAGGTCAGTGGAACTTGGAAAACATTAGAAACTGGAAGAAAATTGAGAGGTAATACATGCTAGTACACCTTAGCAAATAAACATTCTAGGTTCAAATATGATGTATATCAGTTTTCAAGGTCATTGAAACATTAAATACTAGGAACCAAGGGGTCTTCATAGGTTTAGATGATAGAACCCCTCCAAGTATATCTATTGGGAAGACATTGAACTGAAACAATAAAAGAATAGAGCATCAAAGTTTAAAAACTTGCGATACGCATTTTTTGTGTATCATTTCAATACTTTGAACCATGCTTATTGTATTTCAATTGCACTCTCCATTGAGAATTTCAAGCATGAGCAGCTGACGAAAAACAAGAACACAGAAAAGCCCAAAATCAACAAAACAGTAAGCTGCTGATACTTTTCATGGATAAGATAATAAGAGATCTTGATATAACTGACTGCACGAGAAATGCATCCATCAAATCCTCATACAAGAGAACAGTTAATATATATATATATATATATATATACAGAAGTTCCGGGTGGAAGACCACAGAAAAACTACAATCTACAATAGAAATTTTTCCTTTCCTTCTTTCAACATCTATACTTACAATAGATAAGATGCATTTTCTTCTTTACAGCTCTTCCCATTCATTAGGATTGCCCTGTCGGTTGTCCCCTTTCAACAAAACGGTGAGATCTTATATTTTGCTCCAAAGACATTGAATTAGCTTACCTTCTTGGGTATTGTTAGCTGATTGTCTGCCAACTTTTTGGGTTTATCCACCTGATAATAACCTTGGAAAGAGAAAAGGCTAAATGTCAGAAAGAATTTAAAGATTCATGGTACTTTCTTTAGGTTACATCCTAGGTGGGAAACATTAATCTCATTACGACCAATAAGAATAGAAATTAAAAAAAAAAAATCTTTTTCCCTAAAACATGATTATGAATATTGTAGGACATAAAAAAAAGACCGACGAATATGAAATTTACACCTCAATCATTTATATACTACACTTACTAATGGATTAGGAACCTGCCAAAAAAACCAATGGATTAGGAACCCAAGATCCCTAAAAACTGTTGGACTGTGGTGAGACCCTGCTTTTGTTGAAAATTCCACCTGCAGTTTTGTGTATATTGTGCATTCCATGCTCATAGATATAACACATGATGGAATAAAGCTATATGTTGATGAAAAATTTTGGTAATTGGTATATGTATCGATCGAAAGTTGATTTCATTAATCAAATAGAATAAGACTTTACAAGCATCCCTTGGAGAGATGCAAGGTGCAGCCTCTCTTAAACATTACAAGAGATCAGAAATAAATATTACAAATCTGCCCAAAATAACCCACCCCTAGAGGACCCTTGTTTAGCAAGAGAGTCAGCCAAAGCATTGACCGACCTACCCACCCATTGGACTAAATATTATGTCTTGTTAAGCATTCAACTTTTTTTTATGAGATCCCTATAACTGCAAATGACTGAATCTGGACTCGATAACCAACCACCTTAGACTCCCCTTCAATTAACAATTTCTCCACTCCAAGTTGGGTGGCAATTTGGAACCCTTGTACTACAGCCAATAACTCAGCCCTTGTAGAATTCCCCTATTCCCTCCAGGCCTGAGAACAAGGATATAATGCTGCCATCCTCATTCCTCAGAACCCCTCCTATGCCAGATGGCCCTGGATTGCCTTGACTGCTTTCATCAAAATTCAGTTTAGTAAATCCTTCCAGAGGAGGTGCCCAAATTGTTATAAATCTGTTTTTCTTAACCAAAGTATGGGCTAGCCCAATTCCTCCAAATGTCATCAAAGGAGAGGGAATTGAAGGAATCCAAAGATTTCAGCCAATTATCAGCCCTAGTCAAAATGCACTCCTTCACTACTGGAAAGGATCTCTCCTTCACTTGGAAAATTCTAGCATTTTTTATTCCCAAATGGTCCACAAAGTGGCTACTCTGAAACATATCCACTTGCTTCTCCCTCTTTTGTTGGCCAAAGATAGAAAAAAAAAACAACAATTTGACTTCTGTTGGCTGGTTCCACCTACATCTAAACAAAATAGACATCCAATCCCATAGAGCTATAGCAAAGGAACAAGAAATCAGTAAGTGGTAGCAGTCCTCACTATGAGTTTTGCACAAAAACAAACCAGTTTGGGGATAAACGCAAAAAAGGTTTTCCCAAAAAGAACTGAATTCCTAGAGCAAGCATCATACCTTACAAATTGAAGAAACTTGGGAAGAATGCCATGTATTGTCTTCCAAAGTGTTGTTTTGGTAAAACCGACGAGATACTCCAGCATCCCAACCAAAATCAGAACAGCCATGAATACTAGGCACCACCTTGTACCACAAACTTTCTCTTTCCAAAAGCCATTTCCAAAGCCACTTCGGCACTTCCCCAATAAAGCTTCCTTTTTAAGAGCCAAAATTCCCTAGTCTTCCAAACCCCCTACCTCTTTACTCCGACAAACTATCTCCCAACTAAATGGTCCTTTTTCTCTCCCCTAGTTCCCAAGAAAACCTCTCGTCAACTTTTCTAATTTCTAGCCTCCCTAGAGGGGGATCCTAAACACAAAAAAAAAAATACACCAATAGATTGGAAAGCATAGCTTTAATCAAGGTTACCCTTCCCTCAAAAGTAATATAATTCTTTTTCTAGGATGCCAATACTTTTTGAAAATTTTCCACAATTGGATACCAAAAACCGCTATCCCTAGTATTGCCCAAAAGTAACCCAAATAAGTCATGGACCATGAAGAAATAGAGCAATCCATGCAAGTTGCAACAGACTCAACTTCACTATCAACCAAATTGACACCCATGACCCACCACATAGCTCTTTTCAAAATTGTCTTTAAATTGGCGACGCACTCAAAACCTATTATTAGGTCCTTAAGATTTCTTACTTTCCTCGAGTCATCTTCCTTCACAAAAGATGATAATATCACCTGTACACTGAAGATGAGTCACATATACATTGTTCCTGTCAATCTTCTAACCACTCATTACCTCCTCCCTATCTGGCTTTGAGATCAATCTAATAAGCACATCCGCAACCAATGTAAAAAGGAAAGAAGAGAGAGGGCCATGTGTAAACCTCTACAAGTTGGAAAGAAATCCTTTTACCACTCCATTCACTAGCACAAAGTAATGAACCAAAGTGAGACAACCAAAAATTCAAAGACACCATTTTTCCCCAAACCCACAATCCTAAGAGGAAACTCCAGTCCACCAAATCATACATCTTCTTTAGGTCTAGTTTGCAATCAAAACCTTGACTCCCAGATTTCCTCATATCCTCCATGCACATCAGTTAGTGCTTGCTAAAATTAAAATCCATTAATTTAAAAGTTTCATTAAATTCTTTGGTGAGGGAAACAGAAAATTACTCAAGGTCGTGAATCCTGCCACCATGTTGGACACTGACTGGTAAAGAAACAAAGCTAGGAGCCCCACCAAGAAGGCAAGGGTCTATCCTATATCTGTATTTACATCATAAAATCAGAATGTTTAAACCTAAGCATAAGGTGGTATTGATGGGAGAACCAACAGTGATGGTAACACCTGAGGCTTCTTCATTCAATGGGCTCATGACTCACAACCTACCAGCACGTTAGAATGTCACACCCCTGTCATTGAGGATTTAGAATCACGGGTTTATGTCCTTGATCCTTCTAATCATAAATGATACAAAGATGATGTATGTAAATAGATGCAGTTATTGTAGTAGTTTTCCAACCAACCCGGATCGTAATTACCTGATTTTAAACATAATGGCTAGGCCCCATAGAGTTGTCATTCACCCTCCTCTATAGATACAGCTGTTAGATTGGAATAATACATCGGAGGATCCATAGTATACATCAAAAAATTACAATTACAATTATTGAACCATGTCTACTAATTATTCTTTTGGAATCTTTTATCTCAATTCATAGGAGGGTATCTATTGTATAGGCCTCCTGGGTTTGGCAAATCAAGCTTGATTGCTGCCATGACGAATTTCTTGTGTTATCACATCTATGATATCGAGTTAACAAAGGTTTCAGATAATTCGGAACTCTAAGCATTGTTGATACAGACGATGAACCGTTCAATCATCATAATTGAAAATATCAATTGTTTGCKCAATCTAACCGCAAACCGACTCTCAAAAATGAAAAAAAATAAATAAATTCATTGATACCGATGCCAAAGAGCCATTGACGGTGCAACGATGGAGAGAGAAAAATAGATGGGCCATGCTTTCGAGACTGCTCAACTTCATTTGGTCACACTTTTCAGAAAGAAACTCAGCAGTTAGTCAGAATATTCTGTTGGATGGGGCGAACACTGGTTTGGTCAATGGTTATGGCGGAGGAGATAACAAGGGAAGAAGAAGAAGAATTTTAAGTGGGACAGTGAGAATTTTTGTTTTTATTCTTGGTCATCTGTGAATAGGTGGGAATTTAAGTGGGACTCACCTTAATTTCCCAGATTTTTTTATTTGAGCAATGCCACATCAGCAGGCAAACACTGGTTTGGTCACCTGTGAATAGTTGGTCAGAATATTCTGTTGGATAGGGCAAACACTGGTTCGGTCAGTGGTTATGGTGGAGGAGATAACAGGGGAAGAAGCAGAAGAAGATGAATTTTAAGTGGGACAGTGAGAATTTTTGTTTTTATTCTTGGTCATTTGTTAATAGGTGGGAATTTTAAGTTGGGACTCACCTTAATTTCCCAGGTTTTTTTATTTAAGCAATGCCATATCATCAGGCCTTATTATTTTATTATTTGTCAACAGAACCATCAACAACATCTCAAACGCCGTCTGTTTTTTGCCTTAAAGTAGCCTTTCCATCGTTGTTTGAGGGCGAAAATGGCCCTTTTAATTCTTTAGGGTGTAAAGTGCTTTTTTACAAAGTTCAAGAGTTGTCAAAGCTGAAAATCCCATTTATTAGCATACACTTCCAGAGAATATACAACGATGATGAAAGCCAAACAGAAAAACATTACATTCAAGTACACAACAGAAATACAGAATGATGACAAAGTCAACTACTTTATGTTAACAAGTATACAACCAAGACAGAAGCATAGAGATGATAACAAAATAGAATACTCTAACCAGAAACTGATAACAATTCTAAGCAGTAATCAGTCAGCAGTACCTGAGACTTGCATATTCGACAGATTTTGTAGCCAGCATACCCTCAATTCATGGGACATAGATAGGAATGTATTCCTCCACTTTTCCTCCTGAAATAACATTGTTGCTTTCAGACAGCACTTCGGAGAGAGAGTATGCACTGCAAATATGTTGTTCAAAATTTCAATGCAAGTAGTGATACTCTCCTTAACCTTCTTTAGCACCTCATCATGTTGACTTTGAATAATTGCCTTCATTTCCTTTTCCAAGCGCATCTTCTGCACTTCATATTTTATCTTCTTGGCCTCTACCCATATTCTAATTACATCATCCATTGCACCACAAGTTGAAATTTTCTTTCTCTTCCTCGTAGACATCGGGAGGCTATCAATATCAACTCTCATGCTGAATTCTCTACTCGGCGGAGGGTTATCACACAAATTGACAACATTCTGAACTCCCATGGACTCCCCTGTGGAGGGAGTAGTTTGGCAATCTTGGGTGTGGGAATTGGATTGCGAGTGTTGAACACTATCATCATCGTCTGAGGCAACCTGATTACAGCTGACACCATGTTTCTCTGAAGCTTCTATCCCACCAAATATGTACTCTAGCTCATCCCAGTGCTGGAAGTTCCTTGTTCTGAACTTCCTTGCAAAACCATTAGTCTGCAAATCTTTCCTCATTAATTAGTATCTTATGATTTAATTGTAACCTCTTAAAAACATAGGCAGTTACCTTACAAAAATTGGACCATACTGCTTCATCTGCGATTGGCTTCTTTGTCACAGGATCTATTGTAAAACCTGTTTGATTTGTTAAGATAAGATATTGTCTTCTCCTGTTCCTCAATGCATTGTACTTGTTCTTGAATTGTGAATGAACATAGTTCTTGTTGTGGATCCTGTTGAAATTTTCCCTGATGTATTTCCAACCTTCAGAGTTGAAAGTAGAAGTGGGCCTGTTGTTAGCCTTCACCATATCAACCATCAAGTCAACCAAGGTCTTCTCCTCAGCATCAGACCACATAGCATCTTCTTTGACAAACTTATTATCTTCTTTGTCATGAATATTTTCCATAGCCATCCTATGGATCAACATCCAGCCATCTCAGTCAACACAATTCAAGACATTCTGCCTACTAAAACTAAAGGCTTTAGACTCTTCCAAAACCAAAAGCTTAAGCATGGCAAATAAGTTTCCATGCACAATAAGCAACAAATGTGCATGGACTTTGACAAATGACAACAGATATTTATCTTTATTTATATGTCAAGAATACATATTTGAAATGGTTCAATTGGCACCAGCTGTTCATGCTGGTGCCTAATAAATTTAAGTGCATGCAAACAATTAAAAAAAAGTCCCCAATAGGGGTATCTTCTAGTTCTGCACAATCATCAATAATTGTCCCTCCTTGCCAGATATATATTAAAATTCATTGCACACCACTTACAGAAGTCTAGCATGAACACAAATTGCAAATTCACTTACTGATGCAATCGGATGAGAGTGCAGTTCTAGCTCAACACAGAAAATATCTCTAGTATGACCTTATACAACCTGGGCGCATCAAAACTTTTCATCTGCACATCTTTGATGCTATTATAAGCATACAAAGCACAATATACATAAAAGTGCAAGTGGACAATCTGAAAAACAGGAAGGTCTCATCAGTCAATACACCCCAATACGGCAATATCCTCTATGGATCCTAACCCATTAGTAAGTATGGATTGTACCAAAATGATAGAAGTGAGAATTTAAAATTCATGCAAATCTTACTTTGTGATCTATAATTCATGGTCACATTGAAGTTTCTCACCCAGTATGTAACCTAAAGAAAAAATCATGAATCATTTTTCTCTTTCCTTTCCAAGATTATCATCTAATGGATAAACCTAAATTAAATTGGCCTAGCCAAGAATACCCAACAAGGAAAGTTTTTTTTTTCAGTAGGGTAAGTTAATCCAAATATTTATTGATCAAAAAACAGTTAATCCAAATGTGTCTTGTTTGGATTGGGACATTCTCAACCCAAAGTTCCAAAGGCCCGAATAGCAGGGATTGGCTCATAAGTTGGACAAAATCCCATGCCTAGTTAGATGGAGCTAGTGTTTGATTATTCATATTTTTAACTATTGACTAGCTACCTCCAGTTATAGGGCAACAAGTAGCCACACCTTAGAGGTAAGATATGGGTCACTTGGTGGGAGAACATACCTGCTGCAACTCTAGTACTCTACACTCACTGTTCAGATTGCTGTTGCTGGAGACGTAGACATGTGTCGCATGTCAGCTGTGCACATTGTCTTTACAATGTGGCATAAGTTCTAGACAAACAGCAGTTTCCAGTGGTACCCTCTATAAATTCAAACCCTTATCTCTGCTCATTGTCACCAACAACTGAATAGAGTCCCTTGCAGCAACACAGATTCGCTCTTGTAGTTTTCAAGGGAACAGTGCAAGGCTAGGAACAGAGGAGCGCCTTGTCATGTAGTCACCTAGGTAATAGATTTTTTTTTAAATATAAAACATGAACCATAGGTAGTTCCCTAGGTTCCCTAGTAACTAGCAACAATCTTCTATTAATAATTATCTATAATCTTCAAAAAAAAGGTATAAACTTCATATTAAAATATAGAAAACCAACATATTCATGAGAAGAAAAAGAAATAGAAAAGAAAATTCAAAAAAAAAACATATATAGGGGCTGAGCCCCGGTTTTTGTCCTAGGAAAAGAAGAAAAAAAAGGGTAGAAGAAGAGTGTATATGGATAAAAATTTAAGTTCTTCCTTGCTTATGTTTAGGTTTTGAAGTCTTTGAGGGTTCTCAGCATACACAAACAAGCGTAAATTGAACCCTAACAAATAAGAAAACAATAAAAAGAAACTAGTATATAACCTACAAAAATAAATATTTTAATTCAATAATGTCTATTTTATTATTATAATCTCAAAATATTAAGAATAATACTTCATAGTGCCATGTACAAATAAGCTTGGTGATTAAGCAAGGCAACCCTCCATGGGCACCTTGTCACCTAGGCACCTGCCTACGTATCACCTTGACAACTATGTTCGCTCTCTCATTTAACTACATGTCCTCCTTTCGCCATCTTTACCATTCAGAATTTTAAAAGCGTAAGGCGCAAAAAAGCACAAGGGCCATCTTGCACCCAGTGTTTTAAAAGCAAAAGGCTCAAAAAGGGCGCAAGGCGAGGCACACGCCTTTTTTAGGCAAGGCACACAATTCAAAAAAAAACTAAAAAATCAAAAAAACATGTCAAAAAATTCAAAAARAATGTCAAAATTTTCAAAAGAAAAGCCAAAAAATTCAAAAAATTATAAAACATAATATTAATAAAAATATAAACTTAAATTTTAAAGTAAATGTTTTAAAAAATCATTAATCAAAAAAAATAAATATTTTAAAAAACCTATTATCTCAAATTAAAATACATAAACATAATATGTAAAGCATATTCAAATGAGAATTTAAAAATGAAATCAAACATATAAAACATTTTCAAGCATATAAAACCCACAATCTCTTTTTTCTCACTAAATCAAGTAGCTAATGTGACATATTACATTCCTAATTCTACGAGCCGCCTTTGTGCCACGCCCCTCGAGGCAAGCCCAAGCAAGTCCATGTTAGGGTCTTAAATTCTGAGTTTTCACACAAAAAAATAATGATTTTATAGTTTTATATGCTTTTAAGAAGATATTTTATTAGGATGAATGAATGGACAGCATTACCAAATAGGGGGTTCTCATGGGGGACCACTTGAGATGGAACATCAGTTCCACCTGTCTAATTGCCTTTCTCCCACGCAAAAATCCTTACTGGATTGGCAATAGGGAGACAAAAATTCCATTACAAGGCAGGGATCATATAGTAATTCAATGCAAGGTGGGTGTATGATGTGTTTTTCAATGTAGATTTCAAAATGTAATTGAGAAATCCATGCCACTTTCTTCCTTTACCAATCTTGGAGTATAAGAGATGACATCTCCAAAAGCAAAGCACAGAGATCATCTTGCAGGTCTAGATAATTCCTCTGAATTCCTAATAGTGAATAGATCCACAGGAACATGGAAATCCACTTTACATCAATTATGTATATAGACATGAAAATATTGTATCCCATCATATGGAAAACTTGACTAGAACTAAACAGTGTTGTATAAAGTACTTAAAAGATGTGTCGTCATGGCTTATAACACATCAACAGACAAAGAGGAAGGCATCCTCAGTCATATCTATCTTTCCTGTTATCTCTTTTGCCCAAAAAAAATAAATCAAAAAAAGGGAGAGAAATCCAAAATAGAAAATCAAGAGAAAGAAAGTTGAAAAACAGTAAACAGTAGATTCATCACAGGAAGAGAAATATTTATGTTTCAAGTCTCTAGAAACCAAATTTTACATTAAGGAACACACTGAAGTCTGATTGCCAATGAATGTGTAGACGAGATGAAGAGATCTAGGCAAAGAGACATTGTATGTAAGCTGAATCTTGAGAAAGCCTATGACTTGGTGGATTGGCAATTTTTAATAGAGATTTGGAGGAAATGTGGTTTCAGGGAAAGGTGGTGTAGTTGGATGTTTGGTATTGTTGTTACTTGTCATTACTCCATCCTAGTAAATGGGGTGGTAAGGGATGTTCTTTTCCAGCCTATAAGGGTATTAGACAAGGGGATCCACTTTCACCTTTCCTTTTTACCCCAATAGCTGATATATTCAGTCGAATTATCACTAAGGCTGATAGAGAAGATCTTATAAGGGGATGGAGAATAGGCAGAAGCTAAGTTCCAGTTACTCATCTTCAATTTGCAAATGATTTGGTGATTTCTGTGATGGAGGCTATGGTGAGAAGGTGGAAACCTCAAGGAGCTGGTTAGAGCCTACAAAGGAATTTCCAATTTGACAATCAATCCAAAAAAGAGCTGCTAGCGGGAATCAATTTGGAGATTGATGATGTTGAAAATTGTCTTGAGTGTTCTATATCCTCTTGGCCTATGTCCTCCTATCTAGGGCTTCCATTAGGGGAAAACCCTAGGGAGAGTAAGTTTTGGATTCCAGTCATAGAAAAGTTTGAGAAGTGGTTAGCCTCGTGGAAGAAGAATTATATCTCTTGGGTGGGAGGATCACTTTGATAAAAGCTACCCTCACGAACCTACCTACTTACTACCTCTTTATCTTTAGGATACCGCCTAGGGAAGCGAAGAGAAGTTAGAAAAATTGATGAAAGACTTTCTCTGGAACCAAGAGAATGTAAAAAAAGATCATTTAATCAGATGGGAGGTTGTGGGTAGAAGAAAAGAGGAAAGGGGATTAGGTCTAGGAAATGTGGTTAAAAAGAATTTGTCTTTGTTAGGGAAGTGGTTGTAGCGGTGGCCCTTGGTGCAAGAGAGGCTTTGGCACGAAGAGGTGAAGAGTATTCTTGGATGCTCAAAGAATGGGTGGGATGCTGGTGCATCACAAAGGGCTAACTTGGCAACACCATGGAAGGCAATTCCTAGACTTCTCCTGCAATTTCTCAGTTGTGTCAGGTATGATGTTGTTCTGGCAATTTTGCTCAGTTTTGGGAGGACACTTGGTTGGAGACCTTCCTCTAAAAGACCTTTTTCCATCCTTGTTCTATGTTTCTTTGTATAAAAAAGAGGTGATCTCAAAATTCCTTCCATCTTTGTTAAATCTTTTGGCCTTGACTTAGGATTTTGGTTTTCATAGAGGGTTAAAGGATGAGAAAGTTGTGTGTTTGTCTAATCTACTTTGCCTTCTTGATAAGGTTTGCTTGGACCCTTCAAAGTTAGATAAGCGGATTTGGGCCCCTAATCCGAAAGGGATTTTTTTCCTGTGGCTCCTTTTTTAAGTTCCTTTGCCAAACCTCCTGGTCCTCCTCTCAAGAGGTTTTCCCTTTCAAAGAAGTCTGGTGCAGGCCAATTCCCCCTAAGGTTATGGCTTTGTGTTGGGAAGTGTGCCATGGGAAAGTAAACACTATGGATAACCTACAAAACAGAAGAACCTTTGTATTTCACCTACCTAGTGTACTCTTTGTAGATCTCATGGTGAGGAATGTTACCATTTATTTTATCCTGTAATGTCACTACAGAGCTTCAGGTTTCACTCTTCTATTTGTTTGGTGGGATATGCTAGCAGAAATAAGCACGATCTTTAACCTTTCTACCCTCTCTTGGCCAGTTGGCCCCATAAAAGAGGAAGAAGCATGCTGAGGTGTGGAAGAGCAGCTTTGATCTGGACAGTTTGGGAAGAAAGGAATGCCTGAATCTTCCAAGAAAAGGAGACAAGCAGCCAAACCCTAAAGGACTGCATCATATATAGCACAATACACTGGTTAAAGTCTTTGGAACTTTTTCACCAATTCTCTTTTACTGACTTATGGAGGAACTGGCTAACAGTAGCAAGCTGTTCCTCATCAAAGCCTGGGCAACTCAGACGTGTTTTGAGAAACAAGGCTAGAGAGGTTGTTCCTCTTTCTTTTGGCCCATTGGGCATTGGGAATTCTGTCAGGGCAGAATTGCAAGCTGCCATACAAGGAGTATTTCTTTCAAAGGAATTGGACGTGGAACAACTGCTGATTGAAGAGGACTCTAAGATAGTGGTGGAATGGTTAAATAATCTGGAGGATGTCGCATGGTGTTACAAGAATGAGCAAAAAAAATTCAAATCGCTGGCATGGAATATATCTGTACCAATACAGTGGGTGGGGAGATCAGCCAATGCCTTTGCTGATGTCTTGGTAAAATAAGGGATAAATAGGGAAACATCGTTCTGGGCTCAAATGTATTATTGTATCAACATTCATGTATTTTCTGCTTTAGCTTGTGTGTTTTCTGGTTGGAGAGGCGGCACCTTGCGCCTTTCCAAGGGACTGTTCATGTAATCTGTCTTTGATTTAATGAAAATGTGATATTTTATCTATCAAAAAAACACACTGAAATCTATAATCTTACAGGGGGATGTCTAATAACTAGGGTTTCAGGATTTCAGCATTATATCATGGATATAATTTTGCTTCTGGACCTAGTGACAAGAATACGAAGTAATGTTCGAAGGCATCTGCGTATGCCATGCGTACCTTCACAGAGTAAAATTAGTAGCACGGTTCAGTCTTCCACCCAAGCTGAAAAGCAAGCTCAAGTCTGCAGCATAACTACCTTTTTTCTCTGATCAAACATATCAAGAACAAATATCAGAAAAACCAATTTTTTCTGTGAACTCAGAAGGCCTTTTTCTTATAAAAAGGTGAATAAATTTAGCGACAAAAATGGCCAAATTTATCATGAAAAAAAATAAGAAACAAAAATCGGTAGTATCCGAAGGAGGTAACAGTGAGAAATAGGAAGATCTGAAAAAGAGGAGAACTTTACCAAAAAAAAAAGAAAAGGGGGAGAGAAATCGTAAGAGAGGGACAGGAAGTTAGAAACATTGCATAGATAAAGGGGGAATAGAGAGATTGTGTGTGTGTAAGAGAGAGAGAGAGGTTAGAGTGAGAGACTGCCGGAGAGACATGATTTACCGGCGGCGGTATATACGGCTACACGAATATCGGTAAAGAAGGAGAGAGATCGTGCAAAGAGAGAGAGAGAGAGGAGGAGGAGGGTGAGAGTGAGAGACTGCCGGAGAGAGTGATGACTTACCGGCGGCGGAACTACTACGGCCAGCCGAAAATAGAAGTTGCATTGGGTAGGGAAAGTAAGGGCTATCGTTGTAATGCCTTACCATTTGGGTAAATTAAATTAAACCACAGACAACGACCCTGTACTTAGGGGGTTGTTATACTTTTTTTTTCTAGGGGGTTGTTAACACTTTTTTCTGTTTTTACTAAGGGGGTTGTTACACTTACGTCCCCGAACTTTCAACTTTGCTTTATGACAACGACCCCTTGAATTATGGATCGGTGTCAAAGACCCCCTGTACTTTAGTTATAAGGACCCCTCTACCATGGGGGTTGTGTTTGGTATAGTTTTCATTTACTAAATAAACGTTTGTAATTRATTTATTTTTAAAATCGARAAAAAGTGATTGATAAATATTTTTTTTAGGATTTATTAATAATTAAATGCCATTAAACGTCACATCAATGGAACATTAAATAAATACTTAATTATTAAGAAAAACATTAAAATGAAACTTGTTGGTATGCATATAAATCAATACCAAACTTTATCAATAATAATGTGTATAAATCGGCATGATGGGGCAAATGTTGATTTGRCAATTACGTAACAACCCTTTATCAAATAAATGGGATGCCATACCAAACACGTGAAATCAGTGACAAAAGTCTCCTGTACTTTAATTTGCCACAAAGACCCCCTAAACTTTATTCCCTTTTCATTACTGTTCCTTCAGTTATCTTAAAAAATGACTCTCATTCAACTATTTAAAATTTTTAAATCCCTAAGCCGCTCTTTTCTTATTTATTTAAATTGATGACCATAGTGACTATTGATTCCTATAAGTAATGGACGTTAGTGGATTTCTCTCTCTATAAATGCAAGTTGTAGGTTGGACGGCCATACTTTAATACTTGGTTTGGAACTAAAACCAATAGTTCAATTCTTAATGGTTTTTGTTTTGCTATCTCTAATACTAGAATAGACATTTGGGAATCGACTTGTTTACTTGACCTCACAGATGAAGTACAACTGGTCGTAAACTATTATGGTAGTACTTGAAAATTTTAATCAATGGTTGAATTCATGGAAGTTTATCTAAAAATTCAATGCTTCAAGCTTCATAGTTAGGGATGGCAATACGGCGGGTTTGGGGAGGGTTTTGTAAATTCTAGACYCTATTTGYCTCTTTAAACCTCCCAACCCGTACTCGCCCTAAAACCTATAGTGGGTTGGATTTTGAGAATCCAAATCCTCACCGCACATGAAAGTGCAAAACCCTCCCCAACCGTACCCCTCCCCGCATTCAAGGGTAGGGGCAAGTTGGGTTTTAAAGCTTGCATCTAATTTTCTATTATTTCTTATCATATATATAAGCAATAAATAAGTAAAATAACACAAATAAACATCAAGATTTCTAATTATTTAATTAATACATGTAAAAAACAAAAACTAGAAATTATATCCTTCACATAAAATTCAAAATATTATTAAGTTTAGCAAACTAGTATATAAAGGTTGTAGAATGCCAAAATCCGTACCTGCCCCAAAACCCATCATTTAAGCAAAAGAACCTTCTCCATCAGGGGGGGTAGTGGCAGGTACCCACTGGGTAGGGTAGAAATTGCCATCCCTATTCATAGCTTGTAATAATTTCAAATTGAACAGGATTTCTTTCTATGCTACCTCTCTCATTTATTTTGTAGTTCCTTAAGTTATGCTTCTTTCAAGGTAATTTTTTTTCGGGAAAGGAATACAAAGATTAGATTAGGTTAGGGTTTAAGACAAAAGGCAATGGGAAGACAATAAACAAAGTTTAGGTGGGTATTTTGGTAATTTAATGCATTTCGTCAACTTACTTAACAACTAGGGGGTATTTATTGCACGATAAAAGTTTAGGGAGGTCTTTGTCGCAATACAGGGTGGTTTTTGTCACTAACCCTATAGTACAAGGGGTTCTTTATAACTTACCCTTCCATTATTTTGATAATTAATTCTTTAGAATATTCCTTAAATATTTCTAAAATCCATGTTATTTTGGGAAACCATCTTTCCCTTTCATGTTTCCTTTTTATTTTTAATCCTAACTTTCAATGTTTCTCTCAACTTTCTTTTAACAAAATTCATATTGAGAATGCCATGAGAATGATTAGTATATTATCATTTATTTTTTGAGAATGATTATTTTTGTCATTTTGATATTTAGGTCACATTCATTTGGCGGTAAGTTTGGGGAAGGGGGAGTTTTTCGATGCTCGCTTTTTGGTAAGTATGGATCCCACTATTAAGGGTGAGTATGGGTCGATTCTGTTCAATTCCATGGCAGAACCTAGAACCTRCCATATAGGGGTCAGTTCCAAGTTTTTGAAACTTGAAACCTATCCGGTGAAGGTGAGTTCTCGTGTCGGTTTTGGCATTGGCAGTTCTAGGGTTAGTTCTAAGGTCTATCCATGGAACCTGTTTTTTCTTAACTCTTTGTCTCTCCTCTATTAAAAAGAAGAAGAAGAAGAAACATGCTCTTTAAAAACTTGATTTTCAATAAATATAATATTATAATATTAGTTTAAAACTTATATTATCTTTATTGATTAAATTAAGTAATGTAATATGTACATTATCACACTATATTCAAAACATTTTTTTTTGCTCGGACAACCCTTGAACTTTACAAAAAAGCCAATTTTGACCCTAAAAGAAGGCCATTTTTTTACCCCCAGACTTTGATAAAAAGGTCCTGTGTAGGCAAAATAAACAGCATTTGAAATGTCAACAGTAATCCTTTGTAGATTACTAACATGTACTTGGGCCTAGTCTCACTTTGGTACTCGAATTTCAAAATGTGCCAAATTTTAGGAGTACTACATTTAAATTGTAGGTGGGGAGCAGCCAAGGGCACTGCCCTAATTTTTCATGGTTTTTTTTTCCATGGGTGTTGGTTGTTCTTTGAACTTTGTACTTTCTGTTCATTTTTTTCCCTATAACAAAGCTTTACTGTCACTGATTAAAAAGAACATAGCAACAAGTCTGGCAAAGTGCACCTAACAATGAGCCTTGATTGTGAACCCAGGTGCACCTTCTAAAATACTGTGTGTACCCTCAATTTTTTTTAGAATTGATTCATTTATGATATCACAGACACCATTGATCAGTTCAGGTGCATTAGTTATAAGATCTTGAACTGCCATTTGTTTGGGTTAGTTCAGTTTTAATAGAATTGGTATAAGTGACCCTAGTCTTGGAAACATGAACAACAACCTAGAATAAAAGATAAAGGCATTGCTATAATCAAATCTTGGAAGTTAATTAAAAAATTAAAATATCAGTACCACCCCAAAATAATGCCAAATTTTATGAGTTTCTAAAACAGGTAAGGCCAAGTAAACATGCATAGATATTTGGACTTACGGTAAAAAGAATAAAAGAAAAGCCCACCTACTAGCTCAATTATAAGGTGGTGGTGCCTCACATGTACTTGTTGAATTCTGCTGTTCATGGGGCAACTTTCAACCAGGAAGCTTTTGCTAGTTTCCAAATGTCCAAAATAAGCTTTTTGTTGTAGGCATTTCTTAGAATTGAAAAATGAGAACTCTGGAAAGATAATGTTACGTTGGGAAGCTCCAGTACAGAAGTGAATGCTTGACAAATCCACCGGTCTCCTTTCTATGGACTCTTTGGAATGGTCATGTCATCCTTGTATACCTTAAATAGGCCATACCAATTAAAATATGATAGGTTGTAATGTCCAGAATATATGTCTAAAATTTTGATTTGACTACCTTTTCCTTCTGTATTAATAACACTGCTATTTGTTTCCATCTTACTGCTTTCTTCAGGCAAGAGAAGATTCATTTCAACATGTGATGAGTGAAATGGATGACAGAAGTGAGCTTTCTACTGATGAACATCAATTCAAGGATGGAGGTATGCAGTATCAACCAACCATCATAATGAACCCAATAAAGCTCCAGCGACAGGTGAACTGTTTAATTCTTCTAATCACAAATTCTAAATATCTTTAGGACAATGGATTCAGGGTGGTCATGTTTTTAAGTTTTGTAGAAACTGCGACGGGCAAGGAGGGAACTTCAAATTGCAGAGCTCATCCACTAGAACAAAGAGTCTGAAAAGCAAATGCAAGCAGCAGCAATTGAACAATCCAAACAGCTCAAGACTACAGTCAAGGGARGGTACAGTATATGGAGGAGAGAATACGGAAGTCCAAATTCTGACACCACCTTGAAGCTTATGTAAGTCCAAATTCTGACACCACCTTGAAGCTTATGAGGGATCAGATCATAATTGTATGCATATAATGAAGTATATCTTTTCTTTCGTCTTTAATTGTATGCATATAATGAAGTTTATGTTTCAATGTTTTGCAATAGGATGTTCCCAATCTCTACATACCTAATTTATTTTGGCATTTGGATCGGAGTCTAGAATTCTAGGTCTCAAATTTAGGTGTGAACCTCATAAGAGTTGTAAATCATACATTTGATAAGGTCCAGGACTCCAGGTCTGGTTATACGTGGAGCAATCAATTTCCAATGCATAGTTATTGTGGTTAAGTGTGTGATTAGTTGGAGGCATCAAGGTATTTGTTTGATTTGTAATGAAAGAAATTATTATTTTAATACATCTATTGAATGAAAATTGTTGCTAACACTCTAATGCTTGACTCGTAGGAAACGGTGAAGGAATTCAAGAAATATTCCAAAGTTAAACATTCAAAAGGAAGACAACTATCATTACCAGTGGCTTGTATGGTTAATATGTCAATTAGATATCGTTGGAAATTTTTGAGGTTCTTGTAGTGTTAATATGTCAATTGAATGTTGTATTTGAATAATTTGTTTTTGGATTTTTTAATGTAATTTTTAAATTACATTTTTTATTTATCAAAGTTTTCATGTATCAATTATAGGATTTCGTAGGTACATTAAGATGCTAAATCATTGGAAAAAGGCAGGTATCAAAAATGCTGAAATTAAGTAGGCATATAATTTTTTTTTTTTAGAAAAGGTCTATGCTGGCGGTCCATATCTGCCAGCTTAGCTATGAACAAGATGGGAAGTAGTGTCACACAGGACCTAAGGCGGTGGTCTAGACCACCAACTTAWTCAGGCGAAGCCGGCGGTCCGAAAAACTGCCGCCTTAGAGAACTTTGAACCGCATCGGACCAAGGGGAAGGCAGCAGTTTTTCCTACCTAAGCCGGCAGTCCTATCTAAGGCGGCACCCACTTACACGGCAAATAAGGGGAAAGAAAGTGGTTTGCCCCCTAACCCTTCGGTTGGGGGGCTTCGCCCCCCTGTCCCCCTTTTCGATGTAGCCTAATTTATTTTTTTGAGTTAGGGGGGTCTTGCTCCGCTTCGGCAAGCGAGCGAGACCCCCCTTTTAACAACTATTATGCATTTTTATTTTTCTTAATATAAATTTTTTTATTAAAGATAAAGAAAAAAAATGAAATCCCCCTTCCTCCTTCCTCCTCTTAAGGAAGCTTACGCCTCTTGCATTCTAAACTATGCTTCACGCCTCTAGGTAGTGGAATAACTATGTGTTTTAAAACATTGATATTTATTTATTTTTTAATTTTTAGAATAAAATATGAAAATTAATTATTTCATCTATTATGTCCATAAATTTATTCAATTTTTCATTATATATGTACTTTTCTTAATTTTAATTTAATTTTTAGAATAAAACATGCAAAATAATTATTTGAATAAAAATAAATAAYTATTTAGYTTTTAGAAAATTAGAATAAAACATGCAAAATAATTACTTGACCTATTATGTCCATAATTAGATAGTATGTTTCTATTCCCAACTTCTCGTTTATTGATTATAATGTTTTTTTTTCATAAAACCCACTAAAACGTGTTATTTTTATGCATAAATAGCTCATTTATGTCTTATATTTAGTGATACTGATGTTTACTTATGATTTATTAGATTATTTATAGCATTTCCATGTGTTTCCATGCGTATCTTAATTTTTCGTCCGTATCTATGCATATCCAAGGCGTATCCCGATATGTCTTTTAAATTTGCCTCTTCGATACACATAGCATTTCCGAAACTTTGAACCTTGGTATACATCCATTTTCTGCTTACATTAAACCATCGTGGACATTTCAAACTTCTTTATTTCAGGATTGTTAAACTAAATCATCTTTTTGCCTCATGAATTATCAATTTATAGAACATATAATTCATATTATTACAATTGCAACATCACCACATCAACATGCAGAAATCCAAACTAGAGATGCATTTAGGTTATGAACATCCCTTGTCAAAAAATTGTGTAAGAAACAACTGGTCAGAAAACTAAAAGTTCAAAAAGTAATCAAAAGTCAGCAAATCATTCTTATGAACATCGCTGCATAGACTGTGATTTGTTAGACATGATTGTGTAATCTCAACACTGAGATTGATAACAGCTTTTACAGGGTTCTTTTTCTGCTCAAAGATACAAGTATTCCTCTGTAGTCATACTGAATTAAGTTCCAAAGCACATTCCCTTTCTTATTCAATCCCTTCAGATTCTAGCAACCCAATGACTCCACTGAATCTGGATTCTGGAACAAACTATTGGGCCTTAAAAGCCTTAAAATAGCGATGCCAAGTTCTGCTTGTAAAGGTACAGTGAATGAAAATATTGTAGAAATGGGGCAGGATGCAGGATAGAAGGGTAGCAGCTATTTCATGCCATCACAGAACCCTACCAGGGGCCTTCTCTTTTCCCCCTTCATATGTTATCAAGGCCCTTTTTGTTTCTTAATGAAACTATATCAGTGCCTGTTAAAAAATCAGAAATTTGTATGGAACACATAATTATAATCCATAGCTAGGCAAGAAAAATTGATAAACACATTTATGGTGTTTGGTGTGTGTTGTTTACTGATGACACAGTATTATTTTATTCTGTTTTATTATTTATTAATTAATTTTTTTATTTTTATTTGGGTAGAAGATGGCATAGTATTGATTGACAAAACTAGAGGGGGATTAAATGCAAAATTGGATTTATGGATAAGTACCTTAGAAACAATAGGTTTTAAAACTGCATAGGAGGCATGATTTCATTGTAAAAGTAACACCCCTCCTCCTCCCCCTCCCCCCAAAATAAAAGAGGAAAAAAAAAGACTTTAACAATTAAGATAACTAACACCTTTAAATAAATGACATTAAATTATTTCACCAAAATAAGTAAACATTCTTTTTTTACTGGTAAGTACTAAGTTGAAACTTTACTAAACTGTGTTAAACAATATGGATGCAAATTAAAAGTACCAAGCACCCCTCCTCAAGACTTCAAAATAATCAAACTTTTCATATCTACTAGATATAACTTCAACCAAAATTATTATCATCTCCTTAAAAACACTAATTCGGCTATAAGAAAATTGATTTCTCCCAATAAATTAAGAATCCTGATAATTCTGATATTTGGGGGCCATTTGATAACAGCTGAAGTGGGTGAACTAAAAAGTTTATTGCTTTTTTAGCAAATAAGATTTTTAGGAGGTTGTGAGCTCCTTAATGGTTGAAGTTGAAGTTGGGTAGATCATTATACCCTTAAAATTTTCATTGTTTAATTATTTTATCAACTAAAAGACAAAGCAATATATCTTTCAGCTCAGCAACTTTAGATGTTATCAAATGGCCCCTTAGGAAAAAATGTATAACTAGGAGATAATATAAGAGATATTTTCCCACCTTCAAGAAAGAAAGCATGGAGGAGGGGGCATTGCAGGAAATTATTTGTATCCAAGGAAATCAAGACCATGGTTTATATGCATCATCCAATGGGATGCAATTAGGAGATCATCATCCATAAGAATGTAATAGGTCAATCATCAAACTATTAAAGTGCCATTTGATAAAAGAATACTTATAAGTGGATTCATTGGTCCCATTCATTCCACAAGTTAAATTGCTAGTGTGCACTATGCTCAGTGTATGTGGTTGCCAAATTGTTGTTATTGCCATTTAATGAGAACAGAAGAAAATTATTAGAGATTAGGAATGCAGAGAACTCCAATAGAAGAATTCTAAACAAAAAACAGCCCAAGACACAGCACTACAAAATAAGGCCCATAAGCCAGCAGAGAAGCAGGCAAACAGCAGAATAAAAGGAATTTCTTCTCACAGCATTTCAAGCAATCATTGTGGTCTAGTCTGGTCTGCAATTTTCTACTACGGCTTATTCTGTATTGTCTTCATCCCTGTAAATCGAGCCGAGCCGTGTGAGAGAGAGTGTGTGTAAAATCTAATAACAAAAAGAAATCATCATGGTCTGATCTGCAATAAAAAGATAGGGAAGGAATGAAAAAGAGTGAGAGAGAGAAGGAGAATATGAGAGGAGGGAGAGCAAAATCCACGATGACTTACCTTGCCGTCGCCGGAGCTTCAGTCCAAATCCGTTCTTCTTCAACTGTAAGGAGAGAGAGACGAAAGATGAGTGAGAGAGGGGTATAAAAGTTGGAAACGGCTAGTGAAAATGGTTTGAGGGCTTTAAATGTAATTTTGTTTTTTTTTGTTATTTTAAGAAACAAGAATAGGATTCTGATTACGGGGGGTGGGTCGGGAATGGCCATTCTCTCAAATGGGGGATTGTCATGGGAATCAAATTTCAGTTCCGCCCAACCAATCGCATGGTCCATTCTGATTCTGATTCCAAACCCTTAAAGTTATTGATGTATTTTGATGATTTATTGAAGTATTTATAGTATTTTCGTATGTATATATATTTATTTTAATTTTTCTCGATACACATACTATCTTCATACATTTCTTAAAATTGTCTTTTCCATACACTGTTTCTAATACTTTAAACATTGTATGAAACAAATACGAAAAACCACCTTAATCGAGGTTGGGAGGTATAGGGTTTGGGGGTTGAGGTACCCATGCCGTATATAGCCCATTACTGAAAAAATAAAATAAAGATCATAAAAAATCAGGATACTTTTATATATTATATTATTCAATAATTGATTGGATAGGGTAGAACCGACCATGAACAACCCTGGGCGTGGAGTTCAAATCTGTACCCCACAAGGGGATGCCCCGCAACATCCCACAGCACATCCCCGCCCTGTATTATGAATATCTCTCAATGATAGTACTAGTCTCGGTGATGTCATCATCGAGAGATGTTGCCAATACACAACGGGGATGTGTTGTGGGACGTTGTGGGGCGCAGATAGAGGTGTAAAGTGGGCCGTGCCACTCTCTCCAGTGAAAAATTTGGGGGTCAGCCCAGTACGGCCCACGGCTCGGGCCCATGTGGGCCCGTGCCGTGCCATGCCATGCCATGAGCTAGGCTGGCCCGTGGGCCGAGTCAAACCATGTATTGGGCCAAAACTATTTATTTAAAAAAATTGATAAAAAAACTTAAATTTTTAATTTTATATGAATTTTGTGTATAAAATTGCTTATATATGCAATAGTTAAATAAATTAGTATAATAAAATAAAAAAA